AGATATTTTAGGAAGGGTTTTGAACGCAGGATCTGTTTCATGATTGCTTGGGATTATAAGGAGTCAATTCAGTCACCCAGGTGGTCTCTTTGATTGAGACTTCTCCAAGCTGTTAAAATAACACATCTTAGTGTGGTATCTGTGGAAATTAAATAAAACCATTCCATGTTGTACAATAGAGCAAATCTGGATCAAGGACAGTTACAGTAGTTGACTTCAGCTGTGTGGTGCATTGCGGGCACTTTCAGGGTTGAGCCCTCGGCTGTGCTAAAAGGCAACATCTGGGTATCCATAAAGGAAAACTTCTTTTGCCATGTGCTTTTGAAGTACATGATGCTCACCAGGGCTACCTGGCTGCTTTTGAAGTACATGGTGCTCACCAGGGCTACCTGGTTGAGGGGCGATGCAGCACTCTCCAACGGCATGCCACACATGTCCCCATCTGCATGGAAAAGAGGCGGGGAGGGGGACACACGTCGTCCTACTCACCCAAGCCAAAAGACCAGGTCTGTGTGAGTAAATGAAGCAAGTTGGGACCACTCTCCGTCCCTAAGGGCAAGAGGCACAACTCACAAGGCACTGCTAAACCTTCTATCTTCCCCTCCCCACCTGCACACAGACCTCATTAGGGTTGCCTGTTGGTCCATGCTCTCCCCTGAACCAAGCTCAAATTAGTCAATGCCAAGGGCCAAAGTTGTGCCAGGACTGTGCTACTGTCCGGACAGCATGGGTGACAGTAGCCCAGTGCTCAGCACCAGGCCATGGCCCTAACTAGCCTTCTAGCATAAGTGTACCCACACATATCTTGCAGTGGTTTGTCTTTAGCACCAGAAATACCTCATGAAATGGATTCATGGTTACAGATTGCTTTATGAAGTAACTAAGTCAACTGAAGCTCATATCCTAATTCTCTCCCTTTCTTATTTACCTGGCAGTTCGACTGACTCTGCTTTGGGTATCTCAAAGATTATTGAAAGTGTGATCCACTTTTAATTAATCAATACTTGTATGAGCACCACAGCATTTTAGTTCCTGCTTCTAGAGCAGTACTTTTCTACCGTGAAGGTGGGTCACTTATTACAGTTCACTAGAGAAGGACAGGAGGTTTTTTTCGATAGCATCTTCAGTGTGTGTATTTAACACCACTTTACTTGTTGATGGTCAAATTAACATTCACGTAATTTAAGCTGATGGGGCAAATTGGGGATTGATTTGGTCTGCTGCTTTTAAGGACTTACTTTTTCAATTATTTTTTCACTAACACCGAATTTAATTTCATTACTTTTCTTGCTTGTGTGGAAAGTTTATTGTATTTCCCATTTTGACTTCTTACACTCAGAGTCTGACTGCTGATCTTATGGCCCTCTGTGTTTCCTAAATGAAAATTTAGATACATTTAAATTTTAGCCATGCCCATGGCATCTTTTAGAAAAAGCATTTGGAAAGATTAAAAGTCTTCTTCTACTTAAAAACTGCACCTAATCCTCTTTATGAAATCCATCAAAGATCAACTCATATTACTTTTGAAAATCATTGAGCTTCAGTTTTATGTGCTGCTAGGTATGGAGCAACATGTGGAGCTTCAGCATCTGACAGACAACTGTCAGCTGAGTGCAGTTAAGTATGTGATAGTTCTACTCAACCTATTCGAACTGTTAGGTGCTGTCTGCCTCATACCAGCACCTTGGTCTGTATGCAGAAACAAACAGGTACAAATATAGATCATTGAATGTCAATGAGAGATGCTCCCACTGGCCCCATCTATTCGTATTTTGGATCCTCCGATAGTGCTTGCTGAAGCTTCAGTGTTCTTTTATGATGTCTTCTGGTACCCTTACTGCAGCTCTCTTCTCTCTGATCCACATCACAGAGAAATGTCTCTAGGAAAAACCTGAGTGAACAGGGGCTTTAGGTGGCATCACTGGCACTGAGGAATGGACAAAGGCACCAGTCTGATGTCAGAACTGAGCTGTCACAGAATCACATCTGTTCTGCTACAGATACACATGCTAGAGCATAGCAAATGTGAATCCAGGTCCAGTGTTCCCTGTAGTAATCCGAGTAATTGGATCTTCTGGTTGAAAGGCTTTAAATAAACATAATGAACTGTTCATAGCAGCGCCCTACAACCTCATTCAAAAGTTATTATACAAAAAGTGAAATGTTCCTTATTACCCTTCTGGAGGGAAGCTTTTGGAGATAAAATATATCTACCCACAACTGGATTGTGTTTATAACACCTGAGAAATCAGAAGGAAAGTATCTAAAAAGAGTAAATGTGCTATAGTCCAGGTTTGGTTTTAGAACCAATGTGTCTGATTTTCCCTTCTTCTCATCACAATGTGTCGTGCACTGACCATCTAAAAAGAGTAAATGTGCTATAGACCAGGTTTGGTTTTAGAACCAATGTGTCTGATTTTCCCTTCTCATCACAATGTGTCGTACACTGACCAGACGATGTTAGCAACATCATCAGTCTGGATGTTAGCCAGAGTGTTCTCTCTACTTTTATTTCTTTTTTTCACTGTGCATGAATCACTTCTATTGGTGAAATAAATGAAACAGGATATGGCAAAAAGAAATAAAAGCACTATTAAATGTTTTTGTAAATGGTATATATATTGTCTGCTACTTTTCCTTTGATACAGTATCCAAGTGCACTAAAAAAAGTAATAAAGTGCTGATGCAACATGGAATTTTTTTGTAATGGAAATAGATTTATTTTTAAAGACCCTCCTATTATAGATTAAGGTATGAAAAAAGGAACTGCCAGCTTTACAAGAGGAAATAAAAAAGTCGGAGTAGACACAAAATTTGAAATCTTTAGTATGTAACTGAGATGCTCTGTTCTTTTCATAGATCTGGGTAATTTCAGTGGTCGGACAAGAAGTGCCGTCTCTGTACGTGAAGGTCAAGGAGTTGTTCTGATGTGCTCGCCTCCACTTCATTCGCCAGGTACAGTAAACTACAGCTTGTTTGCACACTGGTCCTTTACAGAATGCTCATTATTAGTTCTCGGTATTTTAGATACAACATGTATTTGGTTGCAGAACTTTAAAAATTAAATATCCACCATTCTGATGACAGGTTTTAGAGTACCAAAGGAGTAATTAAACCTCATACACTGCAAATGTCACTGAATAGCACCAGAATTTCTGTTACAAGATTGTCTTATTCCCAGTATAAAACTTAAATGTAACAACAATATTCTCAGTGCCATCAGTGGTGAATATGCTGCCTTGAGGTCACAGAAGATTTCTTTCAGAGTTTAGAAGTCTTCAGAAGTTGTTCCAAACGTCAGTGCCAAAATACAGTTGTCTTGTTTTCATTTACCACCATGATTTTGGTTGTCTCCTCTTGCTGTGTAGCTTAATTTCCAGTACAACTGCATCATTGCAAGAAGTTGGAAATATCATAAATCCCACGAAATGCCTGTGGATTCCCCAATGAAACTGTAGATATTCTAGAGAGGTTACATTTTTGCTTTTCAAATTGGCTCTCCCGCAATGTCTGCAGATAGCTAAGTACATCTTTATATTTGCATACCATGTAACACCTGGAGACACGATGGTAGACAGAATATCTTGTTTTTCAATAGATGCAGAGTAATTTATCCTTTTCCTCTTCAGGAAATGAGGTCTGTACTGAGGGGATTTTTTCAATTCATCCAAATCTGAGCCCTGGAAAAAGTCACACTGCAGAGGGAAGAGATGTAGAAAAAAAAAAATCTCCTCTGCATTTCTGTTAGAGAAATGTGTTCAGTTTATTTATTCTGGAATTATTGTTATGACTGTTTTTGCAATTGTTTTTACAATTATCAGTGTAATTAACGCTTGCTATCTTCTAGCCATTTCTATTCTTTTCTCTCTTCTGAGTATATTGTCTCGCTATGGTTGCCTTTATAATCTGTTTCGGGTGTTGACACTGCAGTCGCTGTGTGACAGAATTGAGTGCATGGTGTAAAGGCTTGATTATGATAAGCAAACTGGGAGGGAAAAGACGTAGGCAGAAAAAGTGAGAGACCGTTTCAACAGCACAACAATTTTGATTTCCCCAAACAAACTGAGAGTATAAGGATGGATGAGTATCAGTAGTGAAGTAGTCCTATGCTTTGTAACAGCTGTCATTCCACAAAGTGTAACTTATATGTCATCAAACTGTTTAAGGAGTTTAACATCAAACTGATTAAAATTATACTTTTAAACTTATATTTAGACAGATTCCAATGCAATGTTCTACTGTAATACACACATTGCCTTTGATGGTGATAAAAACAGTATCTCTCATTTTCCTCAGTGAGCCAGCAAAACCCCTGCTGTGGAAACTACTGGGCTCACAGACAGCGTTCAGTTGGTTCAGTTTATATTATCTGAGTACTGGTATGCTATGCCAGCAGGAAAATTACATCTAGAAAAGTATTTTGAACACCTCTTAGCATAATTCTGTTACCATAGCTATGCCAAGAAAGGTTCTGCATGTAGAGGAGTAATCACTGAAAGCTGAAAGATTGCACTGATATGCAGATGTAAACATAACCTCATGTGAAAGGGAAGGGAATTGGCCTCCCTTTGTTTTGTCCACCATGTAATGAGGAATGACATGCAATTTTTCTCCAGCTCCCTACTAGCAAAATACTGAGGAGCTGTAAGTCCTTGTGGTACTGCAATGGGACTGCAAGTGGTATTATTAGTGCAGTGGCTGGTGTCTCCTGGGAAAGGGGAGAGCTACCTCCATGGACCTTCCAAAAAATTCCACACCTGGTGATGTCTCAACAATAAATCATTCCATGAATCTCCAGCAATAAGGTTTAAGACATTAATTAAAGATGACTGCCAGATCAGAGTCAGTTTGTGAAAAATATTTTTGGACAAAAGCAGAACTTTAAGGGGAAAGTGTGTGAATTTAATTCTGAAATTAGGTAGTGAATATGAAACTTATTTTCCAGATACAAAACTCTTGCAAAGCAGAGCAACTTCAAAGATTCATGTGCAGCAACATCTAAAATACATTTTTAATTTTTTTTAAAGCACTCCATTTCTGGATAGTCCATTTTAGCTTCTGTGTCTTATTTGGAAATATGATATTGTCTCCTATATAGTCCTAAGAAACTCTGGCCCTTAAAATCACCTGGGAGACAAACTTTCAAGTGAATACTAAGGTATTATAGTGGATATATCTAAGCTAAAGTCTATTTAAAGCATGTGCGAAATGTGTGAATATCTAACATTAACAAGATCATGACTTATGAGGGTGTTTTTGATGACAGAGAATTTTTTTGATGAAGACTGCAAGCTTCACTATATTGATTTATTCACATTGATCAGCACCTTTAGAAATAATTTTCACTTACTTATCCCAGGAGATAAATCCATGATCAAACCTAATCACTCTCCACAACCTCATAAGCAATTCATCCTTCAACAGAATCCCATTCCTCAATCTCTAAAGTCAATAACTGCTTATAAACTTGCCTAAGAATTTCAGGATTAAGCCCTTTTAGAAAAAGACAATAACATTGTAGGAAAAGAAGTGGCTTAGTGAAAGAACACTGTATTAAAAGAGATCTAGATCTATTAATATATTTTTGACAAAGAAAATAGTGTTGATTGAATAATAGCAGAACACAATTCTAAAAAAAATCTGAAAGTCTTTACAAAACACACACTGAAAAAATACTACACTAATCTCTTTTGACAAGAATTTAATCAGAAAACAAGTTTCATATGTATACAGTTTTGATTTCTGTTTATTAATGTTTATTAATGCTGTGATATATTACCAAGAGGTAATGCAAGAAACAAACAAATACAAACTTGTGATATATATAGATTATTCATGCAGGTTTTCATTATATTGTTGTTCAAATATTTTATAGAAGAAATACAGAAAAAAAATGTGCACCTGAAATATATTCAGAATATTTGTAGTGCAGATTCAGATGAGAGATTTATTTCTTGGTTTTAATAAATGAGTTTGTTAACTTATTGTCACTTTTGCTGAGAAGTAGCTGAGTGCCAAAATGAGGGAGTTTTCCAGGAGAGACACTATCTCTTCCTTCAGAACAGTGAAGAAAACATTTAACCAAAAGGATTTTTTGCAGATTACTCACGACAAAAAGCCACCAGCAGATTCTCACCTCCTGCTTTTCCTGGACCATCACTCCAAAGTACTTCCTCTGACTTCATTGGGAGTCCTGTATCATTTTCGTGTATCTACTGCAGAAGGATTTCCACTAATACTTTTTTTGTTGCAAATCTTTAATATGTCCCTTGTAAAACATATTAATTGCAGAAAACTTGATCATCCATAAACATAACATTTTATCCTTTTTTTTTTTTTCTTCCATAAACCTAACATTTGACTCTTCGTCACCCCCCATTAGTTTTTTCTCCTAGGTGAGTTTCCTAGACAAGTTAACTCTTAGGTACCCTTGTTAAATGAAAGGCTCATTAACCTCCAATAGCTTAAATAAGAAGCTTTGTTTGATGTCTCTGCTGCTTTTTTTCATAAACAGGATTATGTTTTTTCATAGTGGTATTCTAAAGGATGTAAGTATAGTGTTTTATTCAGTCATTTAATCATCTTAATTACAAGGCTTATCACAGTGAGATTAAAAATGAATGAAAGATTTCATCCAGATTTACATGTTTCCCTCAAAATTAATACTTTCAGCTGAGCTTTCTAAGGCTTTTATTCAAAGCTTTCAGTATGAGCTTAATAGAGAACGATGGTCCCCATTGTTAGAATGAGAACAGCGCTGATGCACACAGGGGAAGGCAGATGGGTGCTCCCTCCCACCTCAAAGAGACGCTGCTGTCTGCAGGGAGCACTGCTACATAATCTTTCCACAGCATATAACATCTGTACAGACGTTAAACTATAACTTTTTTTTATTTCCTTCGAAAGGAAAAAGCTGACCTTACCCAGTTTGGAAACTGTGTTATAGGCTGCATCTTTTGTGCCTCCCCTTTAGCATTATAAAACTGTAGTTTTCATGAGAAATGTTTCACCAAAAATGATTAATACCAGTGCTATGGGGATCAAATTCCTTCCTGTGCATCTTCTGTATGTCTGCGTAGAGTGTTGCTAACTGGCAAGCTGCTAAAATAAAACTCTTTCTACCAAGGTCCAGGAGGCTTTGTCTTGTTCTTCTATTTCCTACACAGCTGTCCCAGTCCTCCTATTAATTGGAGAAAGTCATGTCAAATAATGTTTTTTTAAGTTGTTCTGAGCTCCCGTTTGTGTGTACTTTGGACATACGCAGAAAACCTCTTTGGAAGTAAACAAAACCAATCACTTCTCACTGTTCAGGGTCTGCAAAAGGAATCTGAAAGCTGAGTTTGTGTTAAAACTGCAGTTTTGGACTGCAGCTTCACTACAAGTAGGAAACCAAGTCCAACTGAAGTGCAGTAGCTCTCTTGTTAGAACTCCCCTGGTTAAGCCCATACTGCACAAATTATGCATAGAAATAACGAGACAAACTCTAAATGACATCATCTGTGTACAGCATTGTTAGGAGTAGACTTCTCCAGGCAAATTAGTTGTGATAACAAGATTGTTATGTTTGGGCTGGACTGCCTTCAGTACACTCATTAACTTGTTTACAGGCAATTGGCGGAGGTATCTGCACACAGGACACAGCAAATCCCGTTTTGAAGGCATCCATACACCCTCTAGCTCTCCATTTACTAAGCTGGCTTTTGTGAATGCAATTCACACATGTCTAACTTTATATATATGAGGGTCACAAGGTTATCTGAAGGCTTTGGATTCAGACCCAGGATCCAGGCATCTAACAGGGGCATTTCAGTGCACAACATCAGACAACTTCCATATTTATGTGGATCTAGCCATTACCAGTTTCTTCAAAATCATAGGAAGCCTACATGAACTTAAATCTCTGAATCCCCATCTGTCTCTAGACATGACTGGATGCTACTTTGTCGTGTTAGCCT